TCCTTCCACAGCTGCCTGGAGCAAAAAGGAGAGGTGACTGAGAAAGCCGTTTCCCCCCTCCACAATAGGGACAGCAGGAGAACAAATCCTTGCAGAGAAAAGCATTGCAATCTTTTCTCATTTCGCTGTCCAAAAACTCTGGCACTCGGTGGTGGCCTTTATCAGTGATCTAAAATGCCAGCTGCATGTCAGCCCCTATCAGCTCAGTCTATTGAAACAGACTATTTCAAACTCAGATTGTGTTTGCCTATGCAGATACCAGGGGTGAATTTAGTTTAGCATGCAATATCTAGAGGCCCTGCAGTTTCAGCTGAAAGGAGACCACAGAAACCTGCCAGCACCTTCTAAAAAGGAAGGATTCAGACCTGACCGTTTATCGTCTTGAACCTTTCTAGCAAAACTTCATGATCTGTCCAGTTGCAGTTCTGGTGCCTGCAGGATTGCTGCTCGCAGACAGAGGGAATTCCCTCTGCCACACAGCATGTTCCCCCTGCAAAGGAGGGCAATGTGCACTGGCATGTGCAGAAGCGGCAGGAATACTTCTTTGTATCAGAATAGCTCAGCTGCACAGAGGCCGAGTCTCGAGCTTCTCAGCTAAAATAACTGGTGGGGGAACAACCTCCTGTTTCAGCCATCAGTCACTTACTCCCTCCAAGGCCGCCTCTGCTGTAGTGCAGCGGACAGGTAAGACAGGGCTTTGGGCTCCAGAGCCCTTTGCATTCACAGAAGCTGATTATCAGAAAGGGTGACGCAAGTCTATTGAGTCCTTAATGCAAGAAGAGAATTGACCCTGTTAGTGATGGTCACGTCAGCAGTCCCTTCTGACAGGGCATTTTTCTGCCTGAAAGAGGGAACCAGACAGTTTCTGCTGAACACAGAGCTGTCAGCTTGGCAGGAAGATGTACCGATTCCTGACTATTCAGCAGCCAAAGCTGCCAGCCCTTCGAAAACAGCCACCGCGCACACGGGGTCAATCCAACGCGCTGAGGACGCCTCCAAGCTGCTGTGCAAAAAGTCAGTAAAGCCCTGGCTGCCGGGGAGTCGCTGAGCTGGCGACTGAATCAGTCTGTGCAGTCCAGAGCACCTCCACGCGCAGGAGAGCTCACCCTGGCATCTGCATCAAATCCCCACTGCTTTCGGTCTGACCTGTTCATCCCTGTTCTCATGACCTGTTCAGCTTTAGACGTGTTGCTGTAAAGGACCGATCTGAGCGATCTCAATGCCAAGCAGACCTACTGCGCTCTGAATGAGAATGGGAGATTTGGCGTACTTACTCATCATGATTCACTTGCCACTGGTTGATAAATACACAGCAGTCCTTTGGGATGTAGTAGCCATTCAAAACGGTGTCTTTTGTTGTACTGAAAGAAATAGGGGTGCAGGAGGATAAATTGAGAGGAAACCTGCAGTTTTAGGGTGAAACAAAGGCAGGCAGGTTCTAGAGAAGTATTTTGTTTTCAATACCCTATATTTATTCTTAGGACTCGCTAGGAAATACCCTGCCTTAATTGTATTTGAATTGGGAGATTATAAGTACTCTTGGTTAATGCTTTTCCTCAAGTGGAAAGATTCCAGTTTCACGAAGCTGAATGAATCATGACATGGTTTCTCCCAAGGCAGGTGGAAATATGAAACCAGGTGATTTAGTCACGACCCACTGTCCTACCACTAGTGAAGGGTCTGAAGCGAAATTGCCCTCATACTAAGAGATTCAGCCCCAGGTGAGCAACAAGCAGGGCAGCTGCTGGCCTCAAATTGGGCAGTGAAAGCAGCCGCAGGCACCGATGCAACTCAGTAGTTGCGCTGACGGTGACTGTCAAAGCCATGGGGAGGTTTAACCCAAGGAATTTAGGATTTGCATCAGAATATCTCCCCACAGCCTTCACGGAAGTAGTCTACAACAATAACAGGGATCAATTCCCAGGCTATTATCAGCATAAACAGCACCTCCCAGAAAACCGCTCCAAAAAACAAGTTAACGCGTCAGTCGTTACAGTGCTTACCAGTGCGGGATAGTGAAGGGCAGGAAGGAAGAGTGCCTGAACATCTCCAGGATAAAGGCTTCTGTGCGCGGCAGCGTGCCTCGGTCAGACAGCCTCGGTCGCCTCTCCTGGCCGATGGTGTGATCTGCGGGTGGTTGAGAGGAAGAAGCTGGTTGGAATCAGCCTTTGGCAGAGACATTTCAGCCCTGGAGGAAACGGACTCATGAACTCACCTATTTCTTCCTGGATCCTCTTCTGGATGTCAGGGTACAAGGCAAGGTACATGAGACTCCAGGACAGGGCAGTTGTAACAGTGTCAAAACCTGTATGGACATAGAAGAAAGGCATTTAATTACCTAGAGAAGACAGGCCAGAGGACATTTACAGATCCCATCATTTACAGATCCCATTCTAGATTTTTTGGCCAGTGACACACAGCTAATATTTGCCTTGGAGCTGTTCCCCCATCAGCTATCTCTGGAAAGCCATCTGCTCTGGTCACCCGTCAGAAGAGCATTTGTGAGCCCAGCTTCAGCCCCGGCTACCGAGCACTGTGAGAGGTGCACCTGGACGGCTTCGGCTCCCCTCTCCACCCTCTGCCGTGACCCTCAGCTCAACTGCCAGGGCTAAACAGCAGCTCTCTCCAAAGCTTGTCTCAGGACTTTTGAGGCCTTTCTGGCCATAAGGCTGTTGAAGGACCTGAAAGTGTTTGGCTGCCTGCAGTAGCGGATTACAGCTCTTCAGCTGCCACATCAGGAGGGCAGCTGGGACGGGGACAGCAGCATGGCTTTAACAACAGATGCGTTCTCACCTGCCCCAAAGAGGTCGTTGACAATATTGATGATCTGCTTGCTGGAGAGCGGGACACCGGTGTTCTCCCCTGCCTTAGTCTCCTGGCAGTGCTCGATCAGCGAGTCCGTGATGTCCCGGATGTGCTCCTGAGGGAACAGCCAGAGTAGTCAGCTAGACCAGAGAAATCAAGGGCTGGAGGAAAACCTCTCCTCCCAGCCAATGCAGGGCTCCTGATGGTGATCAGCTACAGACCCACAAGCTCCCGTGAGCTTTCCTGTGCACCCTGTGAGGGGGGTGGACACGGGAATATCCTCTTCCCCCCTTTCTGGGCCAGACAGACAGCAGCCGTGACACTTGCAGGCACCTCTGCCCACAGAGGCAGGATCAGATGGGGCAGTGACAGAGGCAGCAGCTGTTTGGCCTGCCAGGTAAGCAAGGCTGTATTACTCTGGGTGACTAAGAGCCAGTAATATATTAAGAGAGCCATTTTGAAAAGAGTTAGAGAAAGCGGTGCCAGCTACAGGAAAATCAGTATCTCCAAACACTTTGCCACTTCCAGCAAACAGCAGCACTGGATTTGATTTTTTGAGCTTCTTCGAAAGAAGCTCCATTTCATTAGGCAAAAAGTGGAGTAAAAACTTCACTTATGCTCTCTGACTTGTTGCAATGGTCTTAAGGAACCAAGCTATGAAAGATAAAGGCAACAACAGAGTGAGGAGCAAAGCAAAGGTTGCCCAGAGCAATCTCCAAATTCTTACCCTATCAAAGCTAGTGTAATGCTGCTGGACGATTTTTTGCACGAAAGAGCTGAATCGCCTGTTGAGGTCCTTAAAAGCTTTCATGGCACGGCTGGGAAGATACTGGAGCACAGGGATGAAGTCAGTAGGGTTGCCAGCAGCAGCAACCTCTCCAAACTCATTGTTGAGGTTTACCAAGCTGAGCAGCTCTTGGTCGTTGTGGTCGTAACGCCTGCCAAAGCACATGGCACAGATGACGTTGGCCACAGAGATCACCAGGTACCGGTAAGGGTCAAAGCTCTTCTCCTCTTCAATCACCTGCAGGCACTTGGTGACCAGGTAGTCGGACTCCTTCGAGACGGG